GGTGAACATTCAAATGGGAGAAGGGTCAGTGATATCATATATCATGGTGCACCAACAAACGAGGATACAGGGGGGGGAAGCGAAATCGAGCAACCGAACATGAAAACAATTGTTGCGCAGACTACGCGGGGACATCGCTCGAATAGTGTAATCCTCCTCATCCCTGTGTAGCAGGACGGGTCATCGTTGGGATGTTTCTGCCCTGACGATATTTTGGCCTTCGTCTAAATGAGTTACCCCCCATTCCTGTGTATTGCGAACTGGTGTGCGCGGCGATGAGGCGATAGCTTCGTTTTTGAATAGGACTGCATCTTCACATACATTCGACACCACGCGCCCGCAGGCATCATGTTTGAGAAAAAAAGAAGCAACTGTCACACCACATTTTCAACTACGGAACAAGCTGTTCACAACATGTTGTCAACGCGACAAGTGTTCCACATGTTTGCCTGCTCAAGACATAACAATTCCACGCATACCTTCTTTAGACGCAACGAGTTTTCCACAAATGTCTTCTTAAGACGCAAAAAGTTTTCCACATTCGCCTTTTCAATGCAGAAAAAGTTTTCCGCAAACGCCTTCTGCGGTGGGAAATATCTTCACCCCCTTCCCCGGGGACGAAGTTTAAAAATACCTTCTGACATGGTTTATGGCCTTTCCAATCCATATCGTTCCACATCGAACGATTCTAGGTCGCCCACGGCGTTCAAAGTTGAACGCTGCTGGCAGGTTCGCCGCCGGTCGATACGACACGAACCTACCGTAACAATTCGGAGCTCCGCGCGGATTTCCTGGGTCGGCGCTGGACACCGCTGGCGCTGCCCCTGGCGAGCTCCGCGCGCGAGGGAGGGGGTCCACTGCCTATCCAAAAAGTCAGCGCGGACCTCCGAGTTGTTATGCTTATGTCATCGTCTAGTTCCCAATCCAGGCCGCCCAGAACCTTTTTTTCTTCTTACGGTAAATTCGTGCTGTGTCAGGCCTGGCGGTGGTTCCTGACACCGCGGGGATCGTTCAACCTTGCGCGATCGGACGTTCCCGAAACATCAGATCATTCAACATCGACCGATTCTGGGTCGCCGGCGGCGCTCAACATATTAGAAAACCCGCGGCGGGTTCGCCGCCAGGCGCGAACCTGCCGTAGCCACCGTTTCCTGATCTTCTACGTTCGTGCGCGACCAACATCCGCGCCCCCTTGGTGGGCGACCCCGCCCCCCCCTGTCCCCGCCCTCGGCGGCGCCGAGGAAAGGGGCCAAGAAGAGAAGGCCAGCGCCTCGCGCGGGGGCGCGACCACCCGCGCCCCCCCTTGCCCTCGCTCGGACGTCCATTCCCTGTGCATGTTTCGGTTTCGTGCGTGTTTTCGTTCGCTCGGTGGTCCAGGATGCGCCTCCACGGTCCTCGCCGAGAAAAAGATGCGCACGTCTGAGCGATGCCAGGCCCCTCGGGGAGGGGGGCCCCGCGCCCCCCACCACCCGAGCCCGCCCCCGCCATCTGGCGCGCAGAAACGGGAAGGGGCGGCGGGCGGGCGCATCTTGGCCCGAGGCACGTGCGCGGAGCGCGGCGCCATGTAGGTCGGCGCCGGTCCCGAGGGTCCCAGGATGACGCGGTCGGCTGGAGTGGCGGTGGCGCAGCCTTGGCCGCCGGCCACGGCGGCGGCGGCCGCGAGGAGGAGCCCCGCAATGACCTGGAATGGTCGTCCGGCCACTCGCGCCACTCCTGCTCCACGGGGAACCACTCCCACCTCATCTGGCAGTCGGCGAGCTGGCGCCGGGAGAACCATCCGTGGCGGCCCGCACAGAATGCCTTCAAGGTGAGGTGGCCCGTCTCCAGGTGCACGTGGCCGCACGGCTCGAGCTTCGGCGGCTTCTTCACCTGGGCGCACAGCTCGCGCGCCTTCAGCCCCTCCGCGCAGCGGGTTCGGCACTGCCGCCAGGAAGGCGTTGCGGAAGATCGGGCTGGGCGACAGCAGCGCCTTGAACGAGCGGCCGGCCTCCAGCGCGGCCTGCAGGTAGGCCCAGAGGCGAGCGATAAGCCGATCCCATGTCGCCCGAATCGAGAGCCGCATCGGCCGCCGGCGGCGGCTGGGATATGAACGGAGCCAGCGGCTCGGATATGGAGGGGGCCAAAGGCTCGGAGCCTGAAAGCTGGTGCTGGATGACACCCAACTGCTTGACCGAAGATGGCTCTGGTTTCGACTCGGTTCGTTCGATCTTGATGGCGCCGTCGGGCGCGTCGTACTCATCAAGATTGTCGTGGGAGATGTCGAAACGGACATCGCTCTTGTCGTCGGAAGTCCATCTTGGTCGACTCGCTCGCTGAGGTACCACTGCTCAGCTGCAATTTCTCGAGGTGTCGTTCGCGTCGACGCTCGCGCTCGTTCTCCAAAATTCCCGGGGGCACGGCGACGTCTTCATCTCGGCTCTCCCAGGTCGTGAAATCGGGCAGCTCGTTCGGAAAATCTGAAATGCACACGGTAAGCCGGCCGTTCTTGGCCCTCTGGAGGGGGGGGTCGAGGACGCCAACCCCTATGGAGCTGATGGTGCCTACGAACAGGTTTACGGAGGCCCCCAAGAGGACGATGAACTCGTTGGAGGCTCACCGGGGAATAGGGGGCCTGACCTGCGACGACCTAACCCAGAGTGCCACGCCAGCGATTCCAATCGGGCATCCCCATCGTATCTCAGCGATGACTTTGACTTCAAGACCTCCTCCGGACTTGAATCTCTCCTGGGCGGCCAACTCCACCAGGCACAATGAGCGAGCTTCGAGCCTCTTGACATGGGTCTTGCCCCAGGCGACTCCGTGGACCATTATCTGGCAGGCCGTGTCGGCGATCATCCAGCTCTTGCCGTCATTCTCGTCAACGCACTCAGTCGACTCTCCGACAGCGAGGCCTCTGAAGACAGACTCTGACATCATCCGCGCGCGCATGGTCGAGGAAGAGGCGACATCAGCGGAGTTGGCAGGGGCAGGCGCAGAGGACGAGAGCATCGACGCATGGGGAGGTGTCCTCGGAATTCCAGCCTTTGCTGGCGCCGCGACGCGGAAATGAAAGGCTTCGGGCCGAGCCTGGCGCCCGGCTGCTTGCAGGCCGAGTCTCCGGCCCAGTGGCCGAGCTCTCTGCGGTCCAGGCACGGCCCCATCTTCTTGCGATGCTCGATCTGGTCGGCGCCCTGCCTCGACGCGAAGGTTCGACCGCCTCCGCCTTTCCCCTTGCCGCGAGAAAAACCTCGGGTTTGAGCGACCCCCTCCAGCTTCTGCGAGGCGATGCTCAGCACGTCGTTCAAAGCGGCCATCGCCCCGAAGACTTCCTCATCTCTGGATGCTCGACGGCCTCCTCAGCGGGTTTGTCGACCTCCCAGCCGCCGGCTGGCTGTTCGTCTGGCTCTTCATCGTCGATCATGGCTTCTGCTGCATTCACTGCGCGATATCCTCCTCGGGGCAGCGGCGGCCGCGCGACAGGCGGCCGGTCGGCGCCTCCGGTCGCGGGCGGAAAAGGCCCGCGCCTCTGGCCAGACGCCTCGGAGCCCTTGCCCCCCGTGTCCTGGCGACCCTCACCGAGCGGCTTCTCGCGGCGGGGCCGCGCGATAGCTGGCGCCGAGGCTCTCTCAGGACACAGGCGGCCTACGGCGATCTGAATCTTATCGAACTCGCACGTGAGCGCGACTGACATGGCACCTCGAATGTGATCTTCACCCAGCACGGCCGTGCTCAACAGACGGTGCCCTCCTGGCCTGCTGGTCGCAAGTGTCGGAAATATTTGTATTGACCTGCTTGAACGCCCGCTCGACACGCGCATAACGCGTGACATAGGTGTGGAGCTTCTCGCTGTTCGCGCGGCGGATCCTCTCGTAGGCGGCCAGTAGGTCTCTGGCGTGGAAAATCTCCGCCGAACGGCATCCTTATCGACTCGACGAGCCTCTCGATGCCATCGCCGGTGGCCCAAATTATCGGCGGCTCGGAGATAATCTCCTGCAAGGCCCTTCCTGCGATGGCACCTCTCAGCTGCAGCGCGGCCTCGGCGAGCGGCAGGTAGTGCTTGATGAGATACTTCCAGGCGTCTACTGCATCGCACCAGTGCTCCGAGCAGCGCGGGTCCGCGCGGCGATTCACCGAGAAGCTCGGCGCCGCTGGCGGCACACCTCCACGCCACTTGATGCCTGGCGCCGGGCCCTTAAGGAACAGCGGGTTGGCAGGCGTCCCCTCCGAGCCGTGGGAGCTCGCGGCGCCGCGCCCGCGGCGGCCGCGTGCCCAGCGGCGGCGCTGCGCGCCACCGTAGTCGGCGTAGACCTCCTCAGTGTAGACTTCCTCTGAGTCGTCATCTCCCTCATGGCGCGACATCGCGGCTAGAGCTCAGCTGCACGACGTTCGCTACCAATGTGAGAGTACTTCTTTCCACTGCAGGCGGAGCGCGGGCCACGGCACTGTCAGTCAAGTCCTTTGTTTTTGGTTGTTCTCTCTCTCTCTCTCTCTTTCTGCAAGGTGGCTCCCAGCGGGAGCAAAACTGTCCTCGGATGCTTTGTCGAGGGCGTGGCACACAGTCGCTGACTTGTGTATGATATGCTATGCTGTGTGGATAGTTAGCTATGCTGAGCTGTCGTATGATGTCGGCGCTGTGCCTGCTCGCAAGAGGGGCCCCTCAAGACTCAGGCAACAAACGGTTGCGGGAGAAAGGGTAAAGGGCAGCAGCAGCATGGGCAGGGAACCAAGGGGACCCTGACACGAATTGACAGGCAATGGGCGTGTAAGAAAAACTGGCACCTGTTTCAGACCCTCGGGGTCCTTCTGACCCGGGTTAATCCAAACCCGGATCAGTCAGGCCTTACAAAATCCTTCAAGATCTTGCAAGATCCTGCACCCTAGCCCGGGTCAATGCCAAGGATCCTGCAAGATCGATCCTGCAGGATCCTGCACCCAAGCCCGGGTCAGCGCGGCCCTGGCCTTGAAGGATCCTGCAAGATCCAGCGCTCTGGCTGACCCCCGTTTGCATTGACCCACGTCTCCAGGCTCCCGAGACTCTGAAGCATCTTGAGCACCGGAACGTCTGAGGGTGAGGCCAGCCCGGCTGCCCTTCTCGAGAGGGTGGCCCTCGGCGCCGCTCGGCCCGCCACGCGGCGCGCCACCCGGGGCCCCCCCGCCGGGCCCGAGGAGCGTCCTCGTCGGAGGTGAAGAGGCTAGGCAGGCAGGCAAGAGCCGCGCCCTGACAGCGCATCGGCAGAAAATATCATGCTGAAGACATACCTGAGCAAATACAGGAAGACATGCGTGAAGACGCAGTGCCTCGGTGGGCATTCGCCGAACCCTTCGTTCCGGTCCAGAGGAGAGGGGGAGGAGGACTTGCTCCGACCAAATGTGGGGTTGTCCCTGAAAACCCCCCTTCTCGCTCCGGAGGACCTCTGGGGAAGCCAAGAGGTACCGATACCGCTACTCCCCGGACCGCTCCTGGAGGGCGTTCTGCCTAGAATTTCACGGCGAACCCAACGGTGGCGACGAGGGCCTCCGAGGAGGCCCGCAAAGGGGAAAACGGGCGAAGGGTAGAGGTATGGGTACCTCTTCCTGCTCTGGACCTCCCCCTTGCTCAAGAAGCCTGTGAAAAGACATGCCCAGTCCTTGAGAGGGTCTTCGAAGCTGGAGAGAGCGTGACCCTGAGCGCTGACGCTAGGGTCGAATCGCACGGGAACGGGGGGACACTGCACTGCTGACGATAAGCGCCTCCGTCGATGCTGATGGAGTCGTTCTCCTCCTCGTCCTCGACCTCCTCTTCCTCGTCCTCCGCCTCCGCCTCCTCCGCCTCCTCCTCCATTTCATTTCCTTATAACAAGTTTCCCCCTGTCGCACCCCGAGACCTTTTTTCAAGGCGGGCCGGTCGTTTCGCCTGAGACTTCCGCATCATTTATGACCCTGATGCTTAAAAAGTGGCAGCAACAGTTTCACAGATGGAGGGCGGGTGGTTTTCAAAATGCCCCGCACATTCGTTTTCAGACAATTTGCAAGAGCTTCACGGATTGAGGGCGGGTGGTTTTCGAAACGTGGCTCTCGCCTCAGCGCCGCGCACATCCGTCTTAAAAATGTAAGAGTTCTACGGGTTCCCATGATCGACGTACCAGAACAGATACGATGATTTGCGGAGTTGAAGTCGCAGGAATGGCGTTCTGGCACGATTCAAGCTCGCCAAGACGCAACACTCAGCTTGATCCGTGGCGTTGGAATCCCGAGAACAATGTTTTTGCATGCTTCAGGGTCTGAAAACGGCTGTCTTCCAACGAGGCAGGTCCCTCTGTGGGAATGAACCGTTGTAGGTGCCCATGAAAAAAAGGGAGCTTGGGGAGAGGGCTTGTTCCAACATGGTTGGTGACTCTTGGGTTTATACTAGTCCTCCTCCTCCTCTTCCTCCTCCGCCACCCCTCCCCACCATCCGTATCCTGATTCTGGTCCTGCTCCTGCAACTGCTTTTCTGCTGTGTCCCGTTGGTCCCTCCTCCCTTCTCCTCCCTCCTCCGCCCCCTCCTCCTCCTCCTCCTCCTCCTCCTCCGCCTCCTCCTCCTCCTCCTCCTCCTCCGCCTCCTCCTCCTGCGCCTTCTGCTCGTCCATTGTCCAAGGAGGCCGGCTGTGGCCAGGAGCGTACGGCATCCTCCCGGGGCGGACCCAGACGACTCCCCCAGCAGGGCTGGCAGGCACGACAGGAGCTCTGCAGCACACCCGCGGGGAAGGTCAGTCTGTGCTGGACTGCCAGGGTGTGATTGATGGGACTCACCATGGACCCCAATGGAAGCATGATGCCGACTCGGCAGCGCGGTTCGCATTCTGGGAGGCCTGTGGAGGCCATCCCGGGCCGCGCCGCTTTACGAAAGTAGAGTCCCACCTCTAGGAGAGGCATGTTGGGGTCCACATTACCCGTGATGCCTCTACCGCCAATCAGGCTGCGGATGAGTATGCGGAGGAAGGAGCGCGCAGAGCCAGGTTTCCCAACATGCCATCCAGCAGGTCATTGACATCGAAAATAAAGCCGTCCGCGTGCAGAGGCGCTTGACAGAAGTCGCTCTGCAAGTGGCCTTCCAAACCCCTTCCCTGTACTCGGCCGTTTCTCAGGCTGATCGCATGGCCCGCAATCGAGCTTCAGTGCGGAGATAAGCTCAGGAACGCGAGGTCTCTGCCACCCACTAAAACAGGGCTAGGATCAGGATAAATCGCTCCAGAACGTTCCGGAGCGCTCTCAGAGCGTTCCGGAACGCTCTGGAGCGGCCGCGGCGCCCAATACATCCTCCAAACCCGCCGATTCTCAGATTTCGAGTTATCCCGATCCGATTTTGTCCCGATCTTCGCGTCGTTTTACCCACCCCCACAGCTTGGGTCAAGTAAGGGATCTCTAAACTCATGGACGGCCGCCTTCCCCCAAGTCGGAAGGCCTGGACAGACGTGCCCGGCAAATCGCCGGGAGCAGAGGGGAAGTGCTTCGCGCGTGCTGCCCCCCCAGCTGTTGCGCCAGGTTCTCGATAGAGGATTCACTTTGACTGGGTAGTCGAAGCCAATCTGGCAGGCCCAATCTGGCAAACGCGGGCAATCTGGCGAGGGAGCCAACGCGAATCCAGTCTGGCGAATAACCCAAATCATCCAGCTTGGCCGGGCCAGATTGGCCCTGGGGGCCCAATCCAAGCTGACAGTCTGGCCTTCGACTGCCCAGTTCGAGGCCGTCCACGCGGCACAGGCACCAGGACCACCAGAGCCCGAGCTGGGAGGACGAGTGAAGGGAGGAAGGGCGGGAGGGAGGGAGGGAGAGGGGTGACGAGGTAAGCTAGGTGCGCTCGCGTCATCTCTGACGTCCTGCCCCTGCCTCCCAACCCTTACCATGGCGTAGATCTCCTCTCTATTCGCACAGTCGGATGTCGTAGCATGGCATAGTATTACAGGCAGAGCATGGTGGTGAAGATTCACGCGCAACATGACATAGCATGACGTAGCGACGCCCCCAGGTGGGGGGGGACTTCCGCTGCTCAAAAAATCAACGAATCGACACCGAATGCGTAATCACTTCCGACGGTTTCTCCGGGAGGTCATCATTTTTGGGGCATATCTAGAAGGACCGAAAACGATGCCGTGGCATGGCATTGGAACTAATGACGCCGGCGCTGCAGCGCGAGCACGATTCGGAACGAGCGGAAGCGCGGAAAAGAGGCCAGCGCTTCAGGGGGAGCACGATTCGGAACGAGCGGTAGCCCGAAAATGAGGCCAGCGCCTCAGCGAGAGCAGTATTTTGATAAACCAGCAAACGCGGAAGCGCAGAACTAATGACGCGTAGCCTGACAAAGCATTGCGTGGCGATGCCCCCAAGGGGGAGGCTTCTACAGCCCATATTGCCAACGAATCGACACCGAATGTGTAATCGCTTCCGATGGTTTTTCCGGGTGCCATTTTCTAAATGTTGGTGCCATTTGGAAGGACCGAAAACCGTGCCGTGGCATGGCGTCACAAAGAATGACGCGAGGCAAGCACGATTCGGAACGAGCGGAAGCGCGGAAAAGAGGCTCACGCTGCAGCGGTAGCACGATTCGGAACGAGCGGCAGCCCAAATGAGACCAGCGTTTCAGCAAGCACAGCGTTATGAACAGAAATCCAAGCGCGGAAGCGCGGAAATGATGACGCGTAGCCTGACATAGCATGGCGCGGCGACGCCCCCAATTGGGGGGCTTCTGCGGTTCAAACAAACAACGAATCGGCACAGAATGTGCAAGCACGTCCGATGGTTTTTGTTCCAAAGATTGAGGCCATTTGGAATGAACGAATACCATGCCGTGACATGGCGCTGGAAATCATGATGCCAGCGCTGCAGTGGGAGCACGATTCGGAACGAGCGGTAGCGCGGAAATGAAGCCAACGCTGCAGCGGGAGCACGATTCGGAACGAGCGGTAGCGCGGAAATGAGGCCAGCGCTTCAGCGAAAACAACATTTTGAACCAAAACCAAAGCGCGGAAGCGCGGAAATGATGACGCGTAGCCTGACAAAACATTGCGTGACGATGCCCCCAAGTTGGAGGCTTCTACGGCCCAGATTGCCAACGAATCGACACCGAATGTGTAATCACTTCCGATGGTTTTTTTTTCGGGTGCCATCTTCTAAATGTTTGTGCCATTTGGAAGGACCGAAAACCGTGCCGTGGCATGGCGTTGCAAATAATGAGGCCAGCGCTGCAGCACAAGCACGATTCGGAAGGAGAGGTAGCGCGGAAATGAGGCCAGCGCTGCAACGGGAGCACGATTCGGAAAGAGGGGCAGCCCAAAGTGAAGTCAGCGCTTCAGCGAGAGCAGCACTTCCCCCCCCAAACAAAAAACTCACCGGAATCCTGCGCAACAAAAACTACACAGAGGGTAGCCGACCGAACAATCCCCGGACGCCACCAAGGGAGAGAGAAGAGTAGTATTCATATTATAGCGTTTAATTGTTGAGGATGGGGCGGGGGCGGAAAAGGGGAACGACGCGCGTGTCTTCCCCGCCGTCAGCACCCTGCCTGGCCAGCCGCTTTGGACGCCCGAAATGGGCACGGAAGACAAGGCAATATTGCCCACATGTTCTGGGTTCCTGTCTTCCCCACATTCTCAATAAATACACACATTCCATTAATTTTTCCCGACACACACAAATAAATACACACAAATAAACAGAGCCCCCACATGTTTCCCATATCTTCTGGGTCTCTGGCTTCCCCCCCACTTCCCATATGTTCCCATATGAATTGTGTCTCTGTGTGTGTGTGTGTGTGTGTGTGTGTTTTCCCTCCTGAAATATGCCCAACAAAACCATGCTGCCCGAGACCGACAGCGGCCGCTGGTCGGGCAGGCGAGCCTGCGCCTCGGGTGCGGATGGCGCCCGCGGCGACGCCGACCGCGAGCCCCGTCGAATGGCCAGGAGAGGGCGAGGCGGGGATGTACCCATATCTGAAGGGGCCCCAGGACGCACAAATACTCCAGATGTCGTAATAAAAGGGAGGGGGTCTGGACCCTCCAAGACAAGCCATTTCAGACCCCCCCCCAATGGGAGAACCCTCCAAAACATCGTCCCCAGACCCCCCCAGGCCCTCCAAGATAGCCTGGAAGAGACACCCCCCGAAATGAGACCCCCCTCCCTTTATTACGAAATCTGGAGTAAATACACACAAATAAAATGATTCCCCATATGTTCCCATATGTTCTGGGTTTTTGTCTTCCCCCCCACTTCCCATATGTTCCCCACATTTTCTGGGGCATCGAGGATTCATTGTGTCTGTGTGTTTTTTTTCCCTCCTGGATATCCACCGCCTGGGAACCGACGTCCTCGGGGCCCACTAAGCGGTGAATCCATGAACGTGTTTTGGCCCCCTGGGGCCCAAGTATATCCACCCCCAAGCAGCGGTGATGTATAACTCCTCGCCTCGACGACATGTCGGTGGCCTTGGTGACCATATTTTCCAAACACAATTCGAATATTGACAGCGTTCGCGGCGACACCGACCGCGAGCCATGTCCACAATGGACGGGGACAGGTGTCGGCCTTCTCGGGCGGGTGGTACTCGGGGGCGACCTCAACGGGGGGTGAAGAAGAGAGACCCTAAAGAGCCCCTTTCACGCCCCATGTTGGCAAACCCTTATTACCACCCGCCCGGCCTTCACGCCCAGTCTTCCGGGACCCGCGGCGCGCAAAGGGCACGGGGGACAGGGGAGAAGGCGTCTTAAAACGAGGTTGCTGCTCAAAAGGCGACAGCCCAGTAGGG